TATTGATCACATATTGATGACAAGTATCATCTTCATTCAAGGCCGCCAGCGAAGGAACGCGACCTAAACACACCTTTACAAATTAACCATCCCATACAATGGAGTTGCCACTCACAGCTAAGTCACAGAGTAACATAGGTTGGAAGGGCCTCTGGAAGTCACCCAATCCACCCTCCTGCTCAAAATAAGTCTAATTAGATCAGAGTGCTCAAGGAATTGCCTGAGTATCTCCAAGGATGGGGATTCCACCTGTTCTGATACTTGACCCATTTCACTATAAAGCACACAGTGCTCACAAATTGCCCAAATCATTAATTCGGAAAACTGTTTCTCACAGATTAAAATCATCAAGACCACCCCGAGTCCATTCCCTTACAAAAAAATGGGGAAAGATGAAGGGAGAGAAAGTGTAAGAGTGAAGACAACGTCACCCAAAACAGAGGAAAAGTCTTTGCACTACTCTTCAGCAAGCCATGAACTTCTGTCCTCTAGCACAGACACCACAAAGCAACCAACAGAGCTGAGGTCAAAGACAAGGGATGAAAAAGAAGAGAAGTGAGGCCATATTCCCCTTGTTTATCATATTCCTCTCTCTATTCAAAACTGGTTCACTGTATCCACAGAAAAATTGTTTTCACACAGGAACTGAAAATGCCATCTCAGCATCAACTGTTTGCAAACACTCAATCCTCTTAAAGGCTGACAGAAAGAAAATAAGTCTGGTGGCAAACAATCACACAAACAGAACCTGCGGTGACTGTCAAGTGTAAGTGCAGAGTAGGAAAAAGAATCCTGACTTTGCTGAATGAAATTGTCAAATGATCAAAATGCTATCAAGGAATTCCTTCTTTTATAGGGAAGCTGGTTTGTGTGTCACACAAAAGTGAAAACCCCCAGATTAAAGATGATGGCCCTCTATTTAAAACACCACCTGAATAATTTCAGTCATAAAACCAATCTGTAAGTGCCCCTGAATTAATTATGCTAACAACGACTGGGAACAGGAACTTCTGCAGTTCTTCAGAAGATCGCTTTCCAGCTATGCCCCAACCCTACGACAGAAGGAGAAAGGGGAAGTGGAGCAGTGGTCTATATTAAAAAAACAAAACAAAAAAACACCCACAATTCTAGCATTCAAGATATTCGTGAATATGTTTAGTGCTTCTGTATTAACCATGCAGAAATGGTTTATCAGAGCCCCACGGTATTAACTATACACTTCAGAGTCGGTGTAGGAGGAATAGAGAAAAATAAATTATGATGAGATGAAAGAAAGAATGATGACGCTTCTTCCCTCCTCTCCCCCCCTGCTCCTGCCAAACCACCAGCAAGTATTAGCACACTTCAGGTCTGGATACTTGCCAGTTAGCATAAAGGCCAACAAAACCAGAAGCTGCTAGAAATACAATAGTTCTTGGAGACATAAAACCTGAATAACAAATATAGACAGGGACTGAAGTTAACTACTCCCAACTTCAATAAATACAACGAGTGAAAGGGGAAAAGACTGAAAAAACATCATGACAAAAATCAACTATTCAAAGTGAAAAAGAGCAACCCAAAATTTCAAGTAGTAATCCCTCAGTTTCCTTACTTTTTTAAATAATGCGGCAGGCTATCTTCTCATACTCAATAGGATGCCAGTCACCAACAAGTTTTAGTGAAGCAACCACCAGTACATGAAAAGAATGGTGATCTTGAGAGCTGCAGCCCTGTACTGTCATCAGAAGACACAGAAGGAAGCAGCAGCCCTTCCTTTCTCTGCAAAAAGCCCAACAAGTAGTAGTTAGCGTATTTAAAAGTTTAAAGAAAGCTGTCATTCTGCGTCTCCTGAATGGCAATACCACACACTGCTATAGAACCACTAAACAAAAAGGGTAAGGGGATCCTGTGTACTGCCAGGGTTACAAAAATCAGAGAAACAGCTTTTACCATACAGTGCCCACAAAAGAAAAGGCCAAGCACTTTTCCTCTTCACTCAGCTGTTTTACAATTGCAAGCCAAAGGTCAACTATCTTCACTCACTTTTGGAAACCAGCCACAAGATTACTAACAACCAGCTTAATGGCTACAGTTCAAATGCTATTCAATAAAGTCCTGAAGTAATGGCATCATGACATCATAGGCAAGTTATCTGCTGAAATCAGAGGGAGTCAGACATTAGATCTTTGCCTTCTCTCCCCACAAAGAGAAACATGAACTTTTAAGGAGTAAGAATTGAAGTGTTACAGATTTTGTTCTTTCCTTAGTGTGGCCAAGGCATAACATCTCTCTGCAAAACTATCTCTGCCATCATCATATATGCCATCAAACTAACCCCATTTTCTGGACACGCACCAAGACAGGTGTCTAACAGCTAGATTTAAAGAAGTCTTCACCTCAAGTTAGGTGTGTGCCTCAGCAAGGGCTATCTGAAGAGCAAAGCATACAGGTGCATTCAACAAGTTTATTTCTCTTCCCAATTCATTTGAGGGCAGCAGGATTGACCTGATTTATAAGACAGATCACGAGGCACATGAATGGGATACCCTGAGATTTCTCAGTCATGAGCAAAGTACTAAAACACCAGACCTGGCATGTTTGACAGAAATTAACTTCCAGAACCTGAAACACATCTGAAGTGAACCAGACTTTCAAAATGACAATGTGCCACAGAAGTCTGCTGGTCTGAGCAAAATGAACTGTAACAATTCTAATAATTGTTAGCTTATTTGTCTGAAATTTGGCAGCTTTAGACAGTGAACCACACCATGCTGCACAGAACTCAGCTACATGCTGAAGAAGGATATCTGAAACTCTTGGAGTTTCCACTAACTTTAGCAATAATCTTGAGCAGTTTACCATTTCTATGACCCAGTTTACTCATCTATGAAGTAAATATGTAACATTTGTAAAAGTTTTCAGAATATGAGCTGAAAGGAAATAAATACAGTTTGAAGAACTGTTCATCAACGCTTTGAGGAAGTGTTCAGCCTAGGTTTTGTGTAGAGCCAGAAAATCCCTCTGTATTCTAGGAAAAATACAATGATTGATGTAGTGCAACAGCATACGTACCACCATGTTTCTTTTATTGTGACAAGATTTCAGTCTATGGGATGACTCCAGAACATCTTACTATCAGCCCCAGTGCGCAGTTGTAAGAGTTTCAGTACAGACTAAACTTTCAAAAGTCTAAAAAAAGTTATTTTTCCTTTAACTCTTAGGGAACAAGATATTTTTAAACGAATGCAAATTTTACTAGACATTTTTTCATGTACTTCAGCACACTTCCATACCAAACTAAATGAAAATAATTAAGAATACATTTTAAAATAAACTATATTTCATTATACTTAATTTTTCCTTCCTGTTCAGCATTTTCTACAAGTTTACTTCAGCTGTGCACTATTTCAAATACACTATAAAGCTGAGGGCAGCTAGTAATAAGCCAAAATAGAAGAATACAGCTCAGGTTAAGAACAATAAATGCCAGGTTATCACAGAAGACTTCTAAAATTCTGACAGTCTCAAATTTTTAACAACAGCAAAAGGAAAAATATTATGGTAACTTAAACACTGGAACTGAAGTGTACAGGTCTAACAGGCATTTTTAGGGCAATTATGGGCTGGAGATGTGTAGGATATATACAGATGCAATTATTTTAGAAGTTCACAATCTCAAAGGAGGACACATTTTTGCAACCTTTATCTGTTGATGGCCACAAAAATATTACTGCACTGTTAACAAAGCCATAGTTATGTTATTGGAATATCAGCTATAAAAGACACGCATGAAGTTTAGACGTAGATGTTGTTTTTTCCCAACTTATCTTAAAATAGCTGTTAAAATCAAGCCCTTCCCCAGGAAACATTTTGAGCAGATGAGTAATCCCACTGAGGTCTGCAGGACTTGATTTGTCAGCATACACAAAGTTACAGCCTTACATCTGCAGATAGGCACCTCTCAAAAGGTTCTACTCAAAGCATTTTAGAAAGAAGCAGCTTAAAATACTTCAGTACTAAATACATCACTCTAGGAAGGTAAAGCCCATCTCCTATGTTTATGGAGAAACACTGACTCTGAATGAAACGCCATCAAAACATTCCGTAATATGGTTCGTATTATTGGAAGCAACTGAGCTCTCAGCTATGTTTCACTGAGGCAAAATCATTGAGATTTTTTATATTTTACACCCCCCCCCAAAAAAAACCCCAAAATTTTGGGCTTGTTCTGTGTGTCCAGATTTTTAAATAAAGTTTTGGAAATTCAAATAATTTTCCAATTATTTAAATATAGCTCAGATGAAGCCTAAAAAGCCTTTGATATATTGAAAGAACTAGAGACCAAAATTCCTCTAATGCACTCCAACAGTTACTTACATCTGCACAGATCCATTACATATTCAGCCACAAGCTTATCACTCAAGTTCATCAGGACTGAAGATGAGGCTCAGCACCAATATTTGACAGCCTGCTGCTAAAAGATTATCTACTGAGAAATAATCTAATCACTGTTCTTTGATACTGGAATCCTTGGCAGGAGGCAAAGGAAAGGAATACCAAATGGATCTTTATTACTTTAAGGGGTTTCCTCGCGCAGAAGGCAATTCAGCGCAGAGATTACCTTGTACTTCTGCTTATTTGCTACAACGTCCACAACTAACTTTTCAAATATTTCAGTCTCAGGAGAGAGAAACGAGAGACTTTGGG